TAAATTGAGCTATATATGCCAGTAATATAATAAAACTTCAAAAGGCGTGATGTTTTTTAACAGAAAAAAAGTCTTGACCAGCCACAGTAGTAAGCAGCACCTATGCTTTGTTCTGTTTGGTAATGAGAGGTTATCAAGCTATAAGGCGGTGGCCTGTAAATAATCCAGTCTGGACCTGACAACCCAGTGACCGACATCATAAGCATCTACGCAATTGCATACGGTGACATGCATGAACCAAGTCAACAGATAAGTACTAAAAGTCACCTCTATGTCCTTACATAATAGAGTGTTACATTATTTGAAATGGTTTCCGAATCGCGAAATTAAATATTGAAAAGAAAATCTTTAAAAATATTGTTAAAAGATATTGAATGTATTCGTATGACTGACAATCAAGTGTCAGATTTGGACGTGTCATGAAACTCTCTTACGTTTACTGGGGTGGTGGGGTAGCCTAGTGGTTAAGGCGTTCGCTAGTCACGCCGAAAACCCGGGTTCGATTCCCCACATTGGCACAATGTATTAAGTCCATTTCTGGTGTCCCTCGCCGTGATATTGCTAGAATAGTGTTAAAAGCGGCGTAAAACTAAACTCACTCACTCACTCTTACGTTTACTACCTTGGCTAAAAATAAAGTCTGAGTATGGTGCTAATAAACCAGGGATTCGAAATCACGGTAGGTTACTATCAATCCTAAGAGACACAACTCTCCAAAAGTAACATGGTCACACGCAATAAAAATTCTGACAAAATCCGGCCATAATGCAGTCAACAGGTATGTGCCAGAAGATGACTTGTAATGTTTTCATCTGCCTCTGACAGAAAACACAGTGGAGAGCTGCGTCCGCTTAGCACACCAGGATTCTATGAGAGTGTGTTCGAATCCCACGCAGCCCCATTTCTATTTCTAGGTTTTCTCAGCACAATTGACCAAATTCACCAAAGACCAGCAACTTCTAATACCTATATCACTTCATGCACTCCCACATTGAGCTCCCAGTGCCGTGATGTAACTGGGATACTGTTACAAGCGGCATTAATCATATCATTAAGCCTTCAAAAGGTTCTGTGGTAGATATTTGGGGGACATTTTAAAATTTATCTCTTCAGTGACCAAAATCATGATGTATTTTCCTACATGATTTTTACCGTAAGTCCTCGTGTCGCAATTGACATGCCTTTGCGTGTGTTTGTGATGTATGTAGTAGTCAACTTTTATCAGTTATTTTTTTACCATGGGAACGTTTTATAGCTCCTATTTCAATAATAAGATCAAATTGAAACGCATATGATGACCCTACATGTGTGACACAAAAGAAAAAGACTCAGAGTTTTGTTCACTATATCAACAAAGTTTATGAATATCTAAATATAGTAATGATGTAAATTTAAAAAGTATTGTATAATTGAACGGGTAAAGGTGCATCAGCTTGAGTCATGCCGTAAGCATTTGAACATGTATCGGTTTTGTCCGTTTAACAGGATTAGATTTCCACCTTCAGTAAACTCTCACTTAAACAAAATTGTTGTCTTCAATCTGGAAACAATGTTACAGTGTGGATCAGGGTTCACGTGTTAATCTCTGGAAGCCAGGGTACGCGTGTCCTGTTGTAAGATGTTAAGATGTAATGCTATGAACGAGTTGTCTGATGGACACACTGCGCGCACAGATCCCAGGGCTTCGACGAGTATGTGTGGAAGTCGCGAAGAACGGTATCCTTAGGGCTAAACTTGTTCTGTCTCAGGTTACAGAGCATGCTGTCCTCGTAGAACGACTTTCACACAGAATAACCGGTAGACGTGTATTTGAAACAAGTCTTTGTCTTTGTGACGACATCCCGTGATTAGTGGTTGCAATGATGAGGATCTGTCTACGAACACCGGGTGTCATTACAGATCGTTCATATTTTCAGTCTTAAACAAGCTGCAAAATAAACGTTTACCTTTCGGTTCAATGGTGAAATTGTTTTAACGCGGTTTGCATATCTGATTCTGTGTTTTTGAGAACACCTGGTGTCATCTCTGATTCTCACTGACTGTTTTGTTTAAATAATACCAGCATTTTGTATTTCATATAATCACGTCCAGTGAAATCGTGTCGGTGCGCAATCAAGGCTTTTTATTCTTTTGTTAATACTAAGAACGTTACAATTAATTTCCCTGTTCAATATGTTATTATGGTTGTTCTACAGAATTGTGGTTTCGTTTCGTACAAAGATATTTACATTTAAGATAAGCTTACGTTAACATTGCCGGATTATGTATTTGACTGATCGTATTGTGTTGGTCTCATAAACATCGACCCACGTGCCATTCAAAACTAAGTACAAGATACAATCACTTGCACCTGCCTCCCCATCTGATGATTTGTCGGGCAAACAAATTAACAAAAACGCTTACTGAAAGACAGTGTCTCCCCAAGATAGTCACTATCACTGGATCTCCTTTATTCTACCAAATATGGTTTCAAATAAAATTCTACCATGTGATTACGTTAAAACCATTACGAGAGATGATGAATCCTGGATAGACAGAGGGAGTGAAAACTTCCAACAATGGGGAGTTTTAACGCCAGACCATCGAAGATTTAAGATAGCCCATTTTCGGGTCTTTTTTCACTATGGGCCTTATAGCTGTCTTTGAGTTGATTATATAGATAACACCTTCTAGAAAGGAAGAGAACACAAACACGTGAATGGCTTCAGGATTGTAGGATACTTGCAATATGTCTTCAATCCAAGACCTCACACTAACAAATTGTGTCCAAAACGCTAACGTTATTTTATCACCAACGGGCAAGATCCGAGGAAGGCTAAATTAAAAGCAATAAAACTCCATTCTTAGTGTTAGTTCAAAGCCAAGAACTCGTTCTGCTTCGTAGTCAAACGACGTGCTATCCCCACCAGACGGTAAAATATCGGAAACCATTGTTCCCGACGCAAAGGGGTTCGGGAAGCGGCGGAAAATTTAACGCTAGGGATGCCCTCTTCTATATACCCCTGCTATGAGAAACACGGGTTGGGTATCACCTGGGGTGTAAGGCATATCTTCCACGTGGATGGAGAAATTTATTAGGGTCTTACAGGTGGATGAGGGTATATTGCAGTGTAGTCTATTGATGGGTATGATCCTTCAACGCTGGGCAATTTAAACCACACTAAAATGAACACTGTCGTATTTGCCATTAACATATTGTGACACTGATTGCATTGATGAATGGTCCCAGATTGACACATTGCCTCTCTCCCCATGTCCAAGCTGACCGCTGACAGAGTTACGTAGGCCATAAAACATTAATTCGGCCAGTAATTGACCCTAATTCCGTGTATATTGTGAAATAACGATAAAAAACAAATGGTTACTCATTTAATTGACGTAAATAGCTGGCATCGTAAGGTGTTTGCTATAAAATGACGCTCACCGAGTACTGTAATATTACAATTTCATCGTAGATTACTTGTGACAAGTTGATGGCCTACTGATTGTGCCAATCAGCTGGTCACGTTACGTAAAGGGTTAATACCAAAAAGTATACAATTAACAATAATAAAATGCATTTAAGTGATTGTAAAACTCGTTTCCCGATGTAGTCATTTCTCAAAACGAGTTTGGTATGGTACGTTAGCCCCACAATCACTTCAGTAAAACATCTGGTTTAAAGGATTTGTAGAACGATAAAGAACCCTTTGTCAATTTTCGCAATACGAAAAACTGACATGACATGCCTGTTATTCCGTATATTGAAATCGCTAACAGCCAACCATCTTACTTCTTACACTAGCAAGTGTATAGGTTTCGTTTTGGCATTTTCTTATAAAGGAACAGAAAATTCCCATTGTAACTTCTTCAAAAGGATTTCAAACTTCGATCACATAGATGACCCAAGAAAATGTTCATTCCTTGTTTCAACTACCATAATGTGCGTCTCATAAGACCATCAGCGGTTTCTTTGGCTGGCTCATGTTCAAATATTATATTAATTTTTTATATAAACTTCACATTTAACTTTTCAACGTAATTTAGCCTTACATTTAAGTCCTCACTAAAGCCTTCCAAAAGGTTTATGGTAGACACGTGGACGATCGTTATTTCCAAATCTGACGCATCAGTGACAAAATGATGCCCGATGCAATTTCCTTTTTTACTTGTACATGTTCCCATGAGTTTTCTCAGGTGAATAATTGACCAGCCTTTGCATGTATTGATGACAGCTGGCGCCAGTGGAGCAGGATACGCTCACCATTTCGGGAACACCCGGTGTCATCTCTGTTTCATAGTTATTGAGTAACACATACTCGTGATATACATGTAGTCAGAACTGACCAATCGGCTCAGTAGAGATTTCTTATGGATGTGGAAACCTTTTTGTCTCTTCTAATTACGTTTTAATGTAGGGTTCTTTTAAGTACAAGTACTCATATATGAGCACGGAGAATTGCTATTTCCTAAACATTTGCACATATCTGCCATCTAAAACATAAACAAACCCCAACAGTTTTGCTTAAGTGATTCTGAAATTGTGTAGATTCTGCGAGCTAATCACATCAACTGGAGTTATAAATACCGAGAATATAACTGTTACTGTTCTTCAAAGCACCAATCCACAGGAATGCTAGTTTTCATGCGGAATACATAGAATAAACTTTGAAGACGGACTGAAGCCGAAATCATTGGACACAATAATGCTGATTATTGCAACTGACTGAAAAACGTAGTTTTCAGTTTTTCAACCCGTCCTTCTTTAGTATCTGTTATTGAGATCGATTTATCCCTTTGATCTCTTGCTGACCAGTGAAGCGGTGAATGTAAGGCGATAAGGAAATATCTCTGCATTGAAATAATAAAATATGCGTGGTTTACGCATGCGCAGTAAATATTCATTTATGATAAAATCTGCGACCCCGCAAATGTACCAGCTCGAACAATGATCAAACTATCATAATATATTTCTGAATCTGATAACTCTCATAACGCATTGTCACATGGCCCCAAATCAATACTTGTCACACAATACGATTACTACTTTTATTGAATTTATTACAACATGCTTTGCGTCGAATTAAAGTACTCGCTTGGTAATGATTCAACCACATAATGTCTTATATTAAGAAAAGAAATCACACACCTCGTATATTCATGTGTAACATCTGTACGCACGTCTAACCTGAGATCTCATAAAGTTATAACAACTGAAACATGTTTCCTAATACAATACTATGTTCGTAAACAGAGTGTAAAATAAGAACTATATATCTATGAATCATCTACTATTTTTATGTACACGTTTATTGCAACGATTGAGGAGACTTAAAAATTGAACATACAAATGAGTTTTTTAACTAAGAAAAAATATAGTTACACTAAGAACATTTACAAAAGCATTCGAAACACAATGTACACGATATGTACAAACTGTGTATAATCATGTAAATTATATCAATATAATCGACGTTGATTTGGATAACTGTGAGTTTGCTATTTCCAGCTATGCTTCTCAAAGTTTCTTCCTCTGAGACAATTACTTTTATAGGCTGTACATCTCATAAAGCCGACTTGAAGGTTTATCAAAACGTCACGTGGGATGACCGCAAATGTCCCGTGGAATAGACCCCCGTAAAAGAGAAATATACTCCAACAATAAACCCATGTCTGAAAACATCTACATCTGCTACTTGAGACGTACCGATATTTTGTCATCTTTGTCGTTCATATGTGATTGATTTTAATGATTCTTTAAACCATTTCCATGTTGGAAATGCCTGCTTCCCACAGATCTCACCTTGACACCTTACTTGCCATTCCATGACCTTTATTAACTAGTAGAAAATTCAGAACCCATGGATAATAAAATCGACTTCCCTCTGCTTCTCAGTTGGGACCATTTTATGACTTCGTTCACTGTCCAGGTCTATTATCTTTATGCCCACAGGAATGGCTTTGTGCCGCGGGATAGCCGTTCCACAATTTGTAAATCAATTCAAGATTTATCATGTGCCATAGTTGACGACAATACCACTTTTGTTCGATATGGAAGTTCTATGTACAATGTCGGCTTATACTGAATATATAAAAGTTAAGATTTCTTTGACGCTTTTGTATTTTTCGTTTTTGAAACTTAATATTCAACGAAATCTTTTCCACGTTAATTTGGTCACAAATTGATATGTCATTTTTCAACAAATTAACTGTGTAATGTATTTTGTAAGTCCGATTTAGAACCAGCTGAGAGAAATGTTCTTTGGTATTAATGAATTACGTAACGCAGAGGTACATCTTAGTTATGATTCATTTTTGAATCAATGAATTTATTAACCTGAAATATGATACACGAGAAACAGCAGCAATGCATCTCATGTGCACTTAGACAGATATAACTTCATAATTACATGACGTTCATTTTCCTCGTGGCTTGTAAATCATGATCTAATTTCTAAATCTTGGGTCGTTCTACAGACCCGTCTTTATGTTAAAGTAATGGAAACTCCATCACCTTATTATAGGCATACTGCAGTCGTAATTATAAGATTGCTTTGTGGTACAGGATCCTGGTAATTTTGGAACGAAATGATAGCCAGTAAACACTCTCATTGAAAAGTCTAATCAAACTAATCATTAAAAACTGGTGGCACTATAAGACAATTGCACATTTCATATAATGTTCAGTTTATAAAAAGCAACCAGTGTAGTGTCCGTGATTATGAGAAGGCTTAATTATATATCTAACTGGTTATTTTCTTTTCTTGGAAAGAGGAATTCACGCCTATGAACTAAACAAACTCATGTGTCATGTTGTCAAATCAGTTATGCTGACCTACAGTGTGTATTCACATGTCTTTCCTTTCATAATTCGCTATGTATATTCCTAAAATACTGTTTCATTACATACACACATATGTGTGTTATTCTGCGAACCTGTTCATAGTTGTTACAGTATTTGCAGACAAAGTAGTCATGGCCTCTTTGATCTGCGGTACAGCTCCCTCTGGCTCCTCTGCCTCTTGCAGTGTACCTATATCGACATTAACTCACGTGACCATCTGTTCGATATATGCTGGTATATGTATTGCTGTAATCGATTTGTTCTTGAACCACTTCTGTCTGCGTAAAACATGTACTATAAAAACGTTTGATCTCCATACGTCATATCCGACAATTACAAGACAGTACAATGGTGGGTATAGGATTGTATATTATTTTCTTATATACAACGACAGGTCAGTCAATGAGTTGGTCTAGCGAGTTCTGGCGATTCAATTTACTTGTCTCTTCGTAATTTAGCACTGACTGGTAGCAGTATCTTTCGCCGACCAAGCTAGACGTCGATGGAAGGCTTGCCAGTCCAACCGTTCAACTGACTGCCCAGTTGGCCAGTCGGCTCTCTGCAGGCCAGCGGTCATTACTCATCTCTCCGTCGGCCCTCCGGCCACGGTTTTGTGGTCAAAGGGTCTCGTTTACATCGTGGCAGACCACAGCCGAAGCAAGATCTCATCATATTATTACGCCTCGTCTGTCATATTTCATCCTCTCCTTGGCAAATGATGGGACGGAGTGAAATCCATGGCACCACAAAGGCTAGCCAGTTTCTCGGACACGCCACGGCAAGCGTTGCCCGTCTCCATCTCACTTCTCCTTTAATGGTCCCGTTTCCTGAAACGAAACAAGAGTGCATGACTCGTTTGCTCCTAAGTGCTATAAAATCTTTTGAATAGTTTATTGAAAATGTTCATTTTTCGAGTGACACGATCACATACCATCGGGACAAACTGACCAAGTGACGAACATAAAATGGACGCATTTTAAGCCAATGCAAGAAGCATATATTTTAATTAAATGTGTCACTGTTGATCTCTGCATTTGAAGTAGTTGCAGTTTTCTTTTAAAATTATAGGGGCGTGTTAAAGTGAAATTGAGTGTTAGGATATTGCAATCACAAATTTCAGCTTAATTCATGCTTACTGTCATTTGATTGGGTTTAATGATGAAACATTCGCTCCGAGCATGGTCCCCAGTCCTTTCTTTGTTCACTCTAGCAAACATAACACGCTATTTATGTTATGAGGGCAAAGGACTTTTTTTTATAGACCCAACCTATTTTCAAACATTTGATGAAACGGCATACGGGTACATTGAACGAGTCACATATTTCTGTATCCCAATCATGGATGCTTACATAACAAAACTATTTTATTTCTTTGTTATTTTCTGTGTCATTATGTTAATACAAACTACACAAGATTTTTACTATGAAACCTACATTAAGTGCAATATTTTCATTTGTTTGTGTTATTTTGTGGAAAAAACCTCAATAAGCCACAAACAGCGAGCCGTTACAGAACATATGGGAACCACCGTTCTTATATTGGTCCGGTGTAGCGTTTTTATATTCTGACTCCGTGCTCCTTCAGTAGTAAACCCTGAATATGCTCGAGATAGTAAGTAGATCTTTGACACGAGACATAACTAGGTCTCATTTACAGTATGTGTGCAATGTCTCACCAGAGACAATACGGCAGATAAATTCAACCAGCCTTATAGTCTGAAGGAGTAATATAAATAATTCCGGGGATACAAATTCACTTTCATGAATGTGGATGCACCGCCGGCTTCAGTCTGTCATTCAGATAAGTCTCCGATCATAATTCAGATAAAATATGAATATTGAACAAAGCGAATCACTTGTTTCCAAGAGACAATAATGTGTACATAAGAAATGATTTCTTCTATTTTGATGGGGGTATTTTAGTATCCGATTAATGAAAGGTCTGGTTTCCCTGAAACGCTGAGATTATGTCAAGACGATTGTTGACTTGTTTACAATGGTTTTCTTTTATATTTACATTTCAAATGCACTAGAAACCAAGACAAACATATTGTGTATTGTGTACATTGTTACATATGATATTGTGCACAAGCAAGCTGAATGGTTCTATAGATTTTTCAAATGGAACGCCGTCAATTTGTTTGCTTGTGCGTTTGAAACTGAAATTCCTGAAATTGATTTTGGCCGCATGTCAGTTAAATTTCAACACCAGACAGGATGGTTTACCTATTGATAGCTGTAACATAGATGTAATAGTATCACTGACAGATAAAACCTGCAAATGAGCAGTTTGGAATCATAAAATATACATAAGAAAATAACAATTGAAGGTGTTCGAAAAGGATTTTATGACGAGATGTTTATGTTGCCTTCTGTCTATAGACACCATTATGCTAGTGTTAAACTATATAGGCACATAATACAATGCGATTTCTACGATATGTATGTGTATCTGATTTTGCAAAACAATTTCATAGCATCCATCACATTGTTATATGTAAAGTATGTTCTTTAGGGAACCAGTTCATCAATTACAGCAGCGGTCTATTTCCTAATTTCCACAAACAGTAGAACATGCTGCCACATATTTGAACGTAGTTTTTACTGAAAAACAAATCACTTTAGCTGTATATTACGTTTTGGTTCGTGGTTCCTAGCTACATTCTTGAACATACACTGTTGATAGAGATCTGAATGAGTATTAGGTCACCGACCTTGCCAGGTGTGCAGCCTCTGGGGCAATATACACAACTCCACAGATTATTAGGTTTGAAAATTCATTAATGTAAAGCCTTTATCAAATATGATTCTAGTTTCCGTGATGGCTGTATCATTTGTTTTAGAATGCAATGACTTTTGATCTGAAGATAGGAAACATACATCATAAAGATTGGCCCACACGGGGGCGTTGCAGCTTTCATGTTTTATCATCATTGCAACACCTGCATCTCTTAAGTTATGGTGAATACTTTTAAAAAGTTGCCATCAAAGTAATATAATTGTGGAGAAAATTATTACCCCTTTCTAAGTTATGACTTTGAAAAATGAGAAGTATTTTTTGAGAAAAATCCCAAACATATTGACATGTGTCGATTTGGATACACATCATAATTGCTCGGAGTCGTTTGTAGTTATTACATTTCATTCAGTCCTTTCAGGTGTCTTTTTAAAAAAATGTAATACAATATACCAATAAACAAGGCTGGATATCGTTTGTTGGGTGTGAATCGTTACAGGGTGGAACGACCTACTGAGCATTTCATAGACCTGGAGCAACTACAAACACATAATTAATGGGCCCCAACTGTAATTCTCTCTGCTGAATTGCTCAAGCCGTTAACCACTTTGTACAGCAGAACACCAACACCAAGCACTTCAAGGATAGGGACCCAAAGCAGACTCTACTCCATGGCTGCTCTAAATGCTATCCGCTAGAAATATCTTCGATCCTCTTGGCTTAGTCGAGTCCAGACTGCTGACCAGCTCAAAGAAAGTGTTCCTTCAGAGCTGTTATCTACCTTGTGGAGTGGTACTCATCAAAGAGCTGTGTCCAATGTGCAAACGTCATGGAATCAAATCCAAACTACTACCCAATTCAAACCAAATGGTAAACCACCTCATGGAGCGGCACATCCAATACTGCATACATCTTAGAGTTGAGTCCAGTCTCCAAACAAACTTCACGGAATCAAATCCAAAGTCCTAACCAATTTAAAAGACGTGGACCAAATGGTAAACCACCTCATGGAGCGGCACATCCAATACTGCATACAACATAGAGTTTAGCCCAGTCTCCAAACAAACTTCATGGAATCAAATCCAAAGTCCTAACCAATTTAAAAGACGTGGACCAAATGCTAAACCACCTCATGGAGCGGCACATCCAATACTGCATACATCTTAGAGTTGAGACCAGTCTCCAAACATCTTCACGGAATCAAATCCAAAGTCCTAACCAATTTAAAAGACGTGGACCAAATGGTAAACCGCCTCATGGAGCGGCACATCCAATACTGCATACAACATAGAGTTTAGCCCAGTCTCCAAACAAACTTCATGGAATCAAATCCAAACTACTAACCAGTTCAATGGACCAAATGGTAAACCACCTCATGGAGTGGCACATCCAATTCTACCCACATCACAGAGTGGGGTTCCAAACAAAATACGATGCGTAACTGCTAATCAATTCGAAGAATGCCGTTGAAACTTCTAACCAGCGGGGTATTACATGCTTAGACCTGTATACAGCTCTGTCTAGACCAGCAAACCACGTCAAAGTGTGCATCTTTACATTGTGTATGTTACCGTCGAATGTGTGTCTGTGATCTAAAACGAAGGTTTTCAATTGAATTGGTCGCTTACACGCAAAAGGGTTAACCTGCGTGGCACATATCCAGAGAAATTCATGAACCGTAATTCGTACCACATCCTTTCGCATTTCTTTGCTTTGCTTTTGGTACCTAATCCATTATAGTGTTGACTCGGTAAGGACCCACCTTAGGATACACATCTGTACAGAAAATGTTATTAAGCTCAGTACGGATGTTCGTGAGCTGCACGAAAGAGGTAAGCGTAAATGAACTGTATCAGTTCTGGTTTTACTAAATTATATAGTTGACAGGCCGTGATATAATTGAAATATTGCTCAAAGCGGCCTTAAACCTTGTTCACTCTCTGACTCTTGAAGTCTCCTTAATGATGTACTACAACAATCTCTAATGCCCTCTACGCAACTCTCTCAAATTGCACTAATAATCGATAGGCCGTATTAGACGATGTTCAAACCTCAGACAAAGGCACTTATTTTAAAACCATAACGTGAGTTCCGACAGAAACGTTGTTTACATGTTGTTGTTTGTGTAGGTGAAATGGTATTAACGTGATTCTTATCAAACAGTATTTACCCTGAATACAGGTTTATGAAAAAAGCATGAATGTCGAAATGGGTTCTTATTACTTCTATAAACGTCAGTTTCGATCACAAGACCAGTCAGTCGTTTGTCCCATTGCAAAATCTAAATTCGACTGTAGCCATGTAGGGATTCAGGGCTAGATTCGGATCCAAACAAAGAAGGTTTGCCGTGCCAGTCAACTTAATACATCCATTCGGTGATATACGTCACTCATCCCAACTGCTTGGTTGTTGTTCATGATATCAATCACTGGTTTGTCTTGTGCAGACCGACTGTTACAGACCTCACAGACAGATAGCTTTAAATATCAAAACATGAACTTTTCATGAAACATTTATGTTTGAGATAACACATAAGTTTTTATTTTCATGATTATCATATAACAAAACTATAACATGTAAATAAAATGTAAAACTCGTGTTATATGACGTACGTGCATAGTAAGTAATATTATACATCACATTTTGTGTCCTTTCATGGTACTGTCAACTCAACCAATTCACATGGCATGAATAATTAGCCAAATGCAGTGCTGTGTCAACCACCATGGTTCAAACCTCATGGAAATGCTCTTATTTTAGAACATCAAATGATCTTAAACAATGTTAATATTTTGTTGTTTTCTTCTTGAAGAAATACTAAATAGGAACTGGTTATCAAATTCACACAAGTTCAAGCAAACGCGTCACTATAGGAGAAAACGCGTTTAGTTAATTTAATTTCAGACATACAACATGGAAATAAATGTACAATCGTTTAAAACATAGGCAGGTTAGTTTCTAATTAATCCCAACACTTGTTCCAGGAAGTAAAATTTGCTGTAGATTCAGAAAATTGATACACTACCGGTGTCTGACATTAGACAGACCATGACACAAGGGACAGTACGTTCATGGCTCACTCTGCCCTGT